CTTGGGTTCCCTATCACCAGCTTTCCTGTCCCCTCCTGCCTTCTAGTCCTTGTCCCTGGACTGCTATGCCTCATTAGTCCTGTTTTGTTTTATGGGGCTCTCCAATCCCCGGCTGAACGGTGAACTTCAGGAGGGGGTTCACCACTGAGTTAAAAGGGTGTCCGGGGGCCATACTCTCGGGGTTTCTCCAATCTCTCAGGCCAGTAAATCTGGTCTTTTTTTTCTGAGTTAGAATTCTGTTCTACATCCTTTTCCAGCTCTGTCCAGGACCCTCTATTGTGATCTCGGTAAGAGCGGTCAGTGGTGGTAGCCAGGCACCATCTAGCTGTACTGGACTCAGTCTGGTGAAGGCCTTGGTAGCAGTGGTCCATTAGTCCTTGGGACTCTTTTCCTTGTATCCTGTTCGCTTCGTTCGCCCTTGCTCCCAAAGGGGTGAGACCAGTGGAGTATCTTAGATGGCTGCTCACAGGCATTTAAGACCCCAGGCGCTACTCACCAAGGTAGAATGTAGAACATTGTCTTTATAAACTGTGTTATGCCAATGAAGCTAGATATTCCCCGAGACCGTGGTCCCCACAGTCCTCTGCCCAGCAATTCAGTCCCTCAGGGAGTCTGGATGTGTCTATGGAGCTTCCATGACCTTTCCTTGTACAAGCTGTACTGGCTTCCCCAGTAATGTGTACTGTCTTACCCTTCACCAAAGTTACCACTTATCTATTTAGTTGCCCCCCACTCCTCCATCCCTCATAACCAACAAAGATTGTCTCTTTTTGTGTGTAAACTTTTACGTGAGTTATACAGTAGAGGTCTCATACAATATTTGTCCTTTTGTGATTGACTTATTTCACTCAGCATAAATGTCCTCCAGTTTTGTTCCTCTTACTCTCCTGTGCTGAGTTCCTTTTGTTTGTGGATTTTTTTTCATTTCTTTTGTTTTTGTAGGTTTTGTTCTTACTGAGATTTTATGTTTTTCTTCTTTATTTTGATGAGTACGTTTGTTAACTTTCTTTGTGGTTACCTTGAAATTTACCCTTATCTTCCTAGATTTGAACCAGTCTATTATTACTCAGTATTGCTCGACTTCCTCGCCATTAGAAGGTTCTATAACTACACCGTTTATTCCCTCCTATTGTTCTGATGCTGTTGTCATTTACAGATTAACCTCTCTGGTTCCCTTCTGTAATTCTTTTGGTTTTGCATAGTCCTTAAGAGTTCATTTCCTAAGATGGCATCTGGCTAGTACAATCCTGTGTCCTATATTCAGCCTGTGGTCTGATATTGTTTGTTCTCAGATCGAAGGTCTCCCTTTAATCAGTCTCGTAAATTTGGTTTGGTTTTTACATAGTCCCTCAATTTCTGTTTATCTGGAAATGACCTAATTTCACCATCATACTTGAACAAGAGTTTTTCAGGATATATTATTCTTGGCTGGCAAT